TTCTTTTGTCGTTCATCGCGCGGTTGTTCCTCGTCGCCAAGCTGATCGTCAGAGTTGTCCTCCGACGCCCTCTTGGTGACGTCCTCCCTATGTGCAAACCACATGATAGCAAAGATGACCCCAAACTGCACAACCGATGTAATTAGCCCACCGAGGAACCCCTTCTTGAACCGTGGTGCCTCGACAGCCGGAAACTGCAGCAACTGACTCCATGCGACAATCGCCTGCCCGATGGCATTCATGCTCGCCGTCACAACAGCCCTCTCTTCGGCGTCCCCCGCCATGGCCACCGTCGCCCACGCCATGGTCAGTGGGAACAGCGCACCCTCGAATCCGCCAATCGTGAAGGCCGCGACGCGTCCTGCCTCACCGATATGCCACGTTACGAGCAGCGCGTGCGCCACGACTGTCGGCACCGACACGGCCAGCAGCAGCGGCCAGAAACGCCCAATGCGATCGGCGACGGCACATGTTGTAAAGGCCGTGACGATGGAGACGGCCGTCGCCACTGTCGGGAGCGTGTTGATGCGCGTGACGCTGTACAAGTCATTGTTGGCCCGTAGATACAAGCTAAAGGGCGAACCGGGAATCTGGTTGTTCTGGTTGCCGATCGACCAGAGCGCGACGAAGAGGTACCAGTGCCAGCGGCGGAAGACGCGCGCAAAGATGTCGCGCGACACCTTGAGCTGCGACGGCGCCGTCTGGCCGGCGAGCCGCGCGCGGCCAAAGGCGTGCTCGTCTGGTGACAGGCACCGCGGGCCGCGACCGGTGCGGCACGTCCGGGAAGACGAAGAAGCCGAGAAACGAGATGGGGAATTGTGGATGATGGCATCGACGATGAAGAGCCCGGCGCCAGCCCGAGAGGCCGGCCGACGCCGGTGAGGCCGCGGTACGCCGCCGTCTTGCGGTAGCCGGCGAACATGGTGCGAGGGCGCGGCCATGTAGAAGAGTGCTACGCGGCGCGCAATCTCGCGCTTGCGCATCCATGAGCCGATGACGTAGATGACGCCCGTGAAGGAGCAGGCTTCGAAGAGGCCGACGAAAAAGCCGCATCGCGTAAACCGTGTCGACATTTTGGGCCCAGGCGAGTCCAAAGGTGGCCGTGCCCCAGCCGATTTCGCAGAGGGGCAGCACAACGTTGACGGGGTAGCGGGTGAGGTAGTAGCAGGCGGGAATCATGAAGACGCAGTAGGACGACCAGAAGGTGATGACGGCGTAGTTGAGCTCGTTCCCAAACATTCCCAGTTCCTCTCGCATGCCGCTGTTGCTGTCAATGAAGTGCCCCAGCAGGTCTTGCTCTGTTCACTTACGTCACATAGGCGTTGGTCAGCGATGCCTGGTCCAGATACTTTGTGAAGAAGCATAGACAGCCGTAGACGAGGATCATGAGGTCGAGTTTGAGCACGAGCTTCTTCTCCTTGGAGGGCATGTCCTGGGGATACCAGTGCACCTTGGTCATCAAGCGAATCCAGGCGTTTTCGCGAGTCTCATCCTTGACCGACCGCTGTCCCGTCTCAGCTATCACTGGAGGGTGTGGTGTATTTTCGTGATCGGCCATGGCGGTCTTCGACGAGTCACCGGGCAGCGAGGCTGGAAAAGTTTGGGGTTTGACAAGTCGACGAGAGAGTAACGCAGTTCAAGGCTGCGATCGATTCATCAAATTGGATCCTCCAACGGCCTTTTACATGGCGGAGGATGACACCATCAAGCTCCATTATGTTACCCATGCCGTTGGGACTGCGTCCCTGCGCCTGTGGGCAACGTTGCTTCTAGAGTCGTGCAGGTGTCGCACGCAGTGGGTTGCATCAGTCCTCGTACGGCGAAACAGGAGCCTCCCCCATCGTGGGTTCGATTCCCCCGAGGATGGAGTTCCGGCCGGACCATACCTTCAGCAGGTCGAGTGAGCGTCGATCTGGTGGCTGCACATTCGTGGCGGACGACCAGATTGGCGTGAAGGATGAGCACGCCATCGACTAATGGGAGAGGGGCCCGCTGCTTTTGATGAGCGAGATGCTGGCCAAGACAACGTGAGAGCAGGCATGGCAGGGGGATCGAATGATCGGTCATGGACCAGCCGAGAAAGTCGTGAGCGACGTGAGGCAGACGTTGGGTCATCGTCGAAGTGGATGCCTTCTGGAAGTCTTCTATGTGAGCTGATTCAAAGCCCGATTCAAAGCTCGACAGGTTGTCCGAAATGCCATGCCCTCGCATTGGCAATGTAAATCTTGCCATGGTATAGAACGGATCGATTTTAAATCGGAATCATGGGGTATCGTAACACACCCTGACTGGGAGACGGAACGTTGGCCATGACTGTTGTACAGGGATCCCAATCATGGCGCACCATGCGTCCAGGCCATCAGTTGATGATCATGATGGAGTCATTCTTTCGAGGTCAATATAAAAGGCCATACGGCGCATGTGTATTCGATATGACGGTATGTCTGTGGATGGAGTTGGTGACCACAGGTACAAAAGATGCCAAAATGTTGAAGGAAGCAACGAGTTGGATATCGTTGCAACGGGAACCATTGGCATGCCCCGATATGGCCATACCCGATAGATGTATAAATGGCGGGGGCACAGGATAACTATGCGGAGCGCAAGATAACGGCGGGGCAACTGCGGGGACGAGCCGACTTACACCGGCAGCCGCCGGGAACCTCTTGCTACCTTCCTCGATGGCTGTAGTTCGCCTGTATGTCCTCTATCTCCTCGCATAATATAGAGCACCGACAGTTAGACGGAAAGAGAAGAGAGAACGTACGAGAATTTATCGATCAGCGATCAATACCTCCTTTGCTGTAGATTGCCCTCGTCCCACAATCAACTCATCTCTCCTCCTCACACCCACGTGCATCTAGCTCTCTTACCTCATCTCAGGTGCCGCACCCAGGAAGTCCAAAACCTCATCTTTCACAAAAGACCGAGAACATAATGGCGTCCGCAAAGCCCAAGGTCGTGGACATCCATACCCATATGTACCCCCCCTCCTACATCGACATCCTCACCTCGCGCACCGCCATCCCCGTCGTCCGCACCTTTCCCCAGGCCGCAGACCCTCGCCTCATTCTCCTCGACGCCGAGCAGCAGGCCCTTGATGCCGCACTCCAAGACCCGACGGCCAAGCCGCCTGGCCGACCCTTAACCTCGCACTACGCCTCCCTCGACCAGAAGATCCACTTCATGGACACCCATTCGATCGACATATCCGTCGTGAGCCTCGCCAACCCCTGGCTCGACTTCATCGAGCCCAAAGAAGCAGCAGCCACGGCCCGCAGCGTCAACGACGAGTTCGAGGCCATGTGCGCCTCGCATCCCGGCCGCCTCTTTTTCTTCGCCGCCCTGCCGCTGACGGCGCCGCTGCCCGCGCTGCTCGAGGCCGTGCGCCACGTCGCCGAGCTCGAGCACTGTCGCGGCGTCATCTTGGGCACGTCAGGCCTCGGCAGCGGCCTTGACGACCCCCAGCTGGTCCCCGTGCTCGAGGCCGTCGCCAACGCGGAGCTGACCGTCTTTCTGCACCCCCACTACGGTCTGCCAAACGACGTCTGGGGCCCGAGAGCCAGCGCCGAGTACGGCCACGTGCTGCCGCTGGCTCTGGGCTTCCCCATGGAGACGACCATTGCCGTCGCGAGGATGTACCTCGCCGGCGTGTTCGACAGGGTCCCGGCACTGCGGATGCTGCTCGCGCACAGTGGCGGCACGCTACCCTTTCTCGCCGGCCGCATCGAGAGCTGCATCGTGCACGATGGGCAGCTGGTCGGCGAGGGTAAGGTCGACGCCGCGCGGAGGACCATCTGGGATGTGTTGCGGGAGCAGATTTATCTCGACGCCGTTATCTACTCCGAGGTCGGGCTCAAGGCTGCCATTGCGGCTAGTGGTGGGGCGGACAGGTTGCTGTTCGGCACGGATCACCCCTTTTTCCCGCCCCTGGGCACGGACGAGCAGGGTACGTGGGAGAGCGTCACATGGAATGCTGAGGCCGTCAGCAACGCTGTTGGAAAGAGCAGTGAGGAGGCTGACGGAATTATGGGAGGGAATGCAATCCGGCTCTTGCGCTTGGAGATAGCTTGAGAAGCAAGGAATCAAGAAGAGGCTGCTGAACATGGGCAATCAAATTGGGTATTCATGATGCCGAGCGTTGTAACGCTTCCTGCCACTGACCGATGATGGAAAGATGTACCAGCCCATAGTAGCGTAGCTCATTTGCTGCCTTTTGAACGTTCCGCCCGTGAAATTTGCAGCGTCAAGCGATTGTTTCAACAGGCTCTAGGGTCTCCATAAACCGAGCTTGCCCGATATGCGTCGCATGCTCTGCCAGACAGAAGAAGAATACGAAGAGGAGGAGGAGGAGGAGGAGGAGGAAGATTTGGCAGTTGTGCAACTGAGATCCAGCGTGTGCACCCGAAACCCAAGGAAGAGTCTCGAATCGACGCGGGCTGAGTATACTCGCCCGTCAATGGTGATTGAACAAACGTTGCTGAGCGAACTTCCTAGTTCCAAGAGCTCCCCTGGTGGCCGCTGCCGAACGTTGTTGCCTATGACGCAAGTAAAGTGCTCGTCGCCCTGTTTAGTTTCGATTGTCGTCAATACGAACAGATCAACCCCGTTTTCTCCATCAACCTTGAATCTTGAAGCTATGCGATTCACACGCGTGACATCGTACTTCAGCCGCACGATATGATCGTGGTCGTTGATCCATTGGACTTTCCTCTTGTCAAGACTGTGATCAGTACTAACAAAGAACTAGCACATGGGGGTCAGACTCGCTGTCGTCCTCGGTAAAATACGAATGCATCGTGTACTGACTGGTATAATAGGAGGCCTATCATCACGCGCAATGTGATGATCGACGGCCATGGTGATCTCTGCAGCCACATCATGCAGTCGGACTATCAGGACGTCGTCCTGTAAAGTTTGTAGAGGGAGAAACTCGTCATGAAGGTGTTCTGATCCTGGTGCAACATCTGCCACAGTGCTTAAAATAATGGTTTGCATTTCAGCTTGGTCAAGCACAGCCCAGGACGCGCAAATGATATTCTGGCCTCGCGAGTACGTGATTTTAGACTTGCCGGAGCCCGCTTGAAGGAAAAGGGGAACGAGCAATAGGTCAGCTAAATGAGCAGAGCGGCAACAGTTCAGAACTGCGTAACACCTGCCGCGCAATTTGATTAAAGGTACCGTTATCTCCAACCCGGAGTTGGTGGCTTGCATCTTGGATCTTGGAGGCCACTTTGACGTGTCCTCTCCTGATGCTTCCAGCCCTTGCCAAGAACGAAAGGCGCCTGGGTGGTGTGCTAAGACGCCCAAACCGCGAGATTGGCGGCTATTGGCAACTGAAGCCAGACCTCTCCAGTCGGGGGGTTTGATTATCAGTTGCACCGACGAGTCGAGGCCCCAAGCCAACAGAGACTCGTCCTCTGATTGCTTGAGTAGTTCAAGCTGCAACCTTCGGAATGCGCGGTTGCCTTCGCCGTATAGCAGAGGCATCTGTATGTCAAAGATGCCGAGGAGACAATAGGCAATGTCTTCAGCCCTCGACGTGGTCCTGTTCGCCGCCCAGGACATGCGTACTGCAGTATTAGGCCAGGGTCTGGAGGCGTCTGCTGACAGCATGTGCGCGGGGATGGCGGTGATGTCTTTGACAAGAGCCGCCAACTCCAGTCTTGTCCCTATGGGCTTCCATTCCTGGTCATAAAAACTCAGGTTTCGCGGGGCGATCAGCTCTTGAAGTGTCCACCCCCTGGTGAACCAACGACTGCGTCGAAAGGCCGAGTTGGACTCAGAGGGGTCTTCTGTTGTCGGGACATCAGATAGATATGTGTAACAGATCTGGGACGATTTGTACCAGCGGTACATCGAATTAATGGCTTCCGAAAGCTCTGCGCTGCTCGTTTTGTCGATGCAGCAAGTATCGATCCAGATGTATTCAATGTTCTCTTTGGCCGCGAGCGTGCAAGTCCCCTCGATCTTGGTGTAGCCCTTCTTCAGCACATGATCGGGGTTCTCGAGGTCTTGCAGAGTAACTTCTTCTACTCCCCAGGTGTGTGAAAGAATGGCATAGTCTGGGATCGATTCATCGAAGAACTCCTCCAGCTTGCGGGTTTTGACATTCAGGAGACGCATCGGAGTCGTGGTTTGTGATGTCGATTTGGTCGTGGCAACAAAGTCATGAAGGAGGGGCGAATGCTGAAGTGAAGTCAGACCGAACGAAGATGCACGATTGGAACAAACTGTGCGCCTGGCCTAAACGAGAGCCCGTCATAGCCTGCTCAACATGGGAGGCCTCGAGCCTTGCGACCGAGGAATCCATGCATTGCCACGTGGTTATTGCACAGTAAAAGCACAGTGAAAGGCTGCATTTCAAACATCTTCCCAGACATGCGAAGCGATGAATGATGATGGAGTTGATTGATGAACTTTCCTCGTCGGGGCCTAGAGGTCTCAGGATAGATATCTGCCTGGGTACCGCAAGGCATGGCAAGGCAGACACAGGTAGGATAACAGTTTCCCTGGTGTTGATGTCGCAGGACATGTGTCTTATGTAATCAAGACGCCTGCCCAGGAAGGCATCGCACGTGGGAATTGCCACCTGCCAGACGTCAGTCATCAGTTGGCTGTGATACCGCATGATCAAGAGAGCAGGAATACCGGAATTCGACTGTTGACATCATCCGACATCTGGCAGTTCATCTTTTGATGGTCTGAAAATAATGAAGAAAACTCTCATCTTATGCTTCATACACGGCTTCAAGGTAGGGCCAGCTGCACCACTTCCCTTCCAAGCCAGAACTGACAAAGCGCAGGGTGGCGATGACACCTTTGGAGAAGGCTACGAGTTCACGGAACACCTTCGCTCACTCGTCGAGCAAGCGCTGCCCAAACTCAACGTTCAAGTTCTTGTGTATCCCAAATATGAGACAAGAGGCGACCTAGGCAATTGTGTCAGCCGATTTCGTGACTGGTATGCCTTTACCATCCCATAACGGGCTACCCCGCTAACCCTCACCAGGCTCCAAGAGAAGGTCATCGACGTTGAAGTCGAAGCTGGCACCTCATCCCCGACCGTCGACCCCTCGGTCCGCACCATCCTGATCGGTCACTCCATGGGCGGCATCGTCGCCGCCGAGACAGTCATCGGCTTGACCTCTGACAAACCCATCTACTCCGAAGACGGCGTCGAAAAGTCGGCCCAGACGCCCACGTCGTTCAACTCGCTCATGTTCCCCTACGTCCAGGGCGTCCTCGCCTTCGACACGCCCTACCTTGGCATCTCGCCGGGCGTCGTCGCCCACGGCGCAGAGGGGCACTACACCGCCGCCTCGGCCGCCATGACCCAGCTCAGCGGCCTTGGCACCGCCCCTCTGGGGCGCCATCCCCAACAAGCCCGCGTCCCCCCGGCCCCGGCACACGTCGCGCGCCCCCGTCGCCGCGCTCCCGGGCCCCGTCCTCGCCCGGTGGCATAACGACCCAGCAGCAGAAGCAGCGACAGCGGAGCCCGTGTGCGAAATTTTTTTTTTATCGTC